ATGAAAAGGCAATCCAAACATTCGACACATCCACACTCGTCTACAATACCAGAGATGGGCATAGTTCCACCCATCACTTATCAAGTGCAGTCTTAAAGGCTTGCACTGTTTGGAGGTCTACTATTTCCTTGGGAAGCCAATTCCAACTATCGACTATCCTATTACTGAAAAGTAGTTCCGCATGTTCAGTCGACATCTCTGCTTTATGGATTGAACTCATGACCTCTAGTGCCTTGTTGGGGAGCTAAAGTGAAGAGACTGTCCGCTCCTATCCCTGATATTCCCTTCATGATTTTGAAGGTTTCTATCAGGTCTCCTCGCAGTCTCCTTCTTTCTAAGGAGAAAAGCCCTAGAGCCCCTAGTCTTTCCTCATGTGCTTTTCCCCTCTGACCTTCAACCATTCTGGTGGTCAATCTCTGAACTTTCTCTAAACCGGCAGCATCCTTCTTGAATAAGGGTGACCAAGCCTGTACACAATACACTACACAATACTCTGACTATGACTTTGTAAACGGGAATGAAGACTTCCGGTCGTCTGAATGATAAGACGGACCGTAGTCTAAATAATCCCCCTAGCCTTGCGTGCTGCTACTGCACACTGGTCAGATCACTTAAAATTATTCGATACCACTACCCCGAAGTCCTTAACCCTAGTAGCGGGTTCAATAGCGAACTAATGCTCTTCCGAGTGAACCTCTAGTCTGTTGAATGTCTTGGTGAGCACATGACTCTTCGTTGCATTAAGATTTAGGTCCCATTCCTTTGCTCATCTGGCTGCTTGCTCTGGATCCTACTTTCAATGACTTCTCCCATTCGAACCAACCACTTTGACGTCATCCGCGAAAATGTAGCGAGCTGAGGTCAGAGTGCTTGGCAAGTCGTTTATGAAGAAAAAGAATAGAAGTGTCCGTAGTCTTGAGCCTTGTGGAACCGCGCTAGTCAGCTGAACTTGTGTGGACCTGTTCTCACCAATCGTCACATAGAATGATCGTTGTGAGAGAAAGACACTAATTTACCTGTGCAACTGTGAACAGCAGGCGATGATTTACTGAATCAAAAGCCTTGCTGTTCATGGCCCATTTAGTGGAATGTTTGAGTGTTCAACAAAAACATTTTCAGGAATATTGTGGATGATGACCGAGAATCAGCCTCATTTCAGAAAGCCATGATGGCGCACTTGCCCTAGGGTTAGACCGGGGCACATACTCGATGTTTTTAGATCAAGTCCACAATGATAAATATGGCAATAATATTAGGTGCGATATTATTTTGGGAGCTCTCACTGATCGGGTGTGGTGAATATACGTGANTTGGTTCATGCCACCTAGCTGTGAGGCGATCACCTGCACCGAGATGCCTCCAAAAAAAGGACCAGTTTTTGTATCACCCTATGAGGATGAGTAAAAAAGGATACACCAAAGAGGTCACCCTTGGCTGTATCTAACACTTAATGGGATTTGGCTGATTCCACAGCAATCATCGAACTCGTAATTAAGTAATAAAATTTCTTTTTGGGGTTTCATGGGGTTGAAGAGAAAAGAAGCATCTGTTAGATGAAACTATGTAAAACGAGTAAGCGCTGGTCATGTGCGAATTATGGTTTCACGTGAATTGACTCTTATCAATCACATTGAAGTTGTTCTTTACAGCTATTTATTCGCCATGTGTTCTTATGTTAGATGCGACTTTGAATTGTTTACAAACAATTAAAGTTGTACAACGGATGTGCAATAACGTTTAAGCCGAGTGGCTTTCCGGAGGGGAGTGTTACGGTGGCTGGATCACCGTGGATGATGATGAAAACAACATTTGATGACTCAGATAGATTTGTAAGTGGCATTCTTTCTTCTCTACTTTAATCTGACCCTTGTTTATCTGTACCATTTATTATTACTCCTATAAAAAATAACGGCTTCGGTTGATTAATTCCGCTCGGTTGAGCATTGACACTCCACTTGTTCGTCTATCATCGTACGGTCCGCCTACTGAGGACCACGGTCAAGTATGTATACGAAATTTATTGTATATTTTCAGATGCCGCATTATACTTGATTCCAATATTGAGCGGTGTACGTTGTGTTCTATTATTATTGGACGTTTAGGCTAATCGTGGGGTTTGCGAAAAAGAATTATACAAATTTCGGGATCACGGAGTTGTTCGGTTGAACGATATGCGTGTAAGACAGTTACAAAAAGGCGGCCGTACATTTGCCTATCTATCTACCTAGACCCTGCTGTCATTGCTTTTAAATACGAACTGTTCAATCTTCGCCGCATTCGTCGAACTTGAACTCCGATGACATGCACATTCCTTTATTGAGATCCGCTCGCTACATAAGCACGTGTTAGGGCAGCTGATGGACCGTAGTTAAAACAAAAGGTTTTCTATTCTTCTTTATTAATGTTTGTTTTCTGTCATTTCCACTCTTTTCTGTTTGTAACTTCCTGTTTGTTTAAACGTTCCAACGTAACGTTTTCGACGTTCGACCCGGGATATATTGCTTGGTCAACTCGGTTGAGCTTGGTGTACATTTTCGTTCGGTTGTTTCCTGCGTTCTGCTTGGGTGAGCATACATCCAAGTATGTTTTTTCCTATTTGTACAATTTATTATAATGTGTTTTAGATACCGTATAAACATCGTGGTCTACCTTCTGTATTTGTGTTCTCATTGCTCGTTCGCGTCGGATTCGGTTACTTGGGATCGTTCGTTATCGGGTTGAATACGTTCGTTCCAGTGCGGAATTAATTGTCGACAGCGTGTGCGAATTTGTTCATTCCAGTTGAGGAGTGATCGTTATTCCAAGGTTCAGGCCCGTTCGTGCTAGATCGCGGTGTTGGTGTGGTTTAATACGCGTATTGGACTTACGAGCTCAAGCGGACGTAACAGTATTTGGATTGGCTCAGAGTTCGTCTACCGATCAGTTGAAAGTTGTTTACAATATTTGGATTGGTGCCAAGCAAACATTTCTGTGTTTATACCCTCGTTGCCTATCCGATTGCCCTCTTGCAGTCGTGACTGTGGTCGAACTTTAACATTTGTTTTGTTTCAGTTGAATTCGCTCGCGGTGAGCAATTACTGTTGTGCTTTATTCCTTGTTTATTTGTGCTATGGATCCATCCAGTCACGATTCTTCAGAGTACGAGTCTCAGGCTGATGCTGCCGGTGCACCTCCCCCTGGTAAGTCTGATTATTGTTGCCCAGACTATGACAATGTTGATGTTCATAGTGATGTCAGGTTAGAGCTGGAAAGCGCCCAACTCGAGTTGGAGGCAGCAGGGGCGATGCGTAGGGCGGCAGCAGCCAAACGTAGGGCTGCTGAGAGGTTACGCCATAAAGACAGAACAGACGTTATCGAAACTATTCGGTTACCTTATAATATAGACAGTGTCGGTCCAAGAGATCANTTCAGATAGCCTTACATCTGAGAACGTTGCTTACATCTGAGAACGTTGGTAATAAGGCTGTAGATTTGGGGGTTAAACCTAGACTAACTGATGGCTCAGAACAGAAATTGGGCAGAATCGATCTCTTAGTTAACCAACTTGAACTGCCCAGGTGTGAGATCCCTTATTTCGATGGATCACCCACACAATACATTCCATTCTTCAGGCAGTTCGGTGACCGTATCGCAAGTCGGGTATCTGACGAAGGCCAGAAGCTTACATACCTTTACCATTATTGTCAAGGGAAGGCCAGAGAGGCTATTCAAGGCTGTTTATTATATCCTACTACTGAGGGTTATAAACGAGCTAGAAAGATATTAGAAGAACGCTTTGGCCAGAGACATGTGTTAGTAAGAGCCTTATTAGATGGTGTCACCAGACATGGATTATTGCAACCGAATGTCGATGAGCTGTCCGCGTATTCCGACAAACTTGTAACTGTTCGGATGCGTTGGAACAACTGAGTTATGTCGCCAATTTAAATTCGGTCACTACGATTGAGCGGGTTCTAGCTAACCTGCCACGCTTCATGACGATCGAATGGGTTAAGTGAGCCGAAAAAATATATCAAGTTAACCGTCAACCATCGTTCCGTGACTTGTGTGATTTCGTTTCTGCTAAAGCCCGACTGCAGCGAAATCGCTACAGTTATTTATTGCAAGATCGTAGATCTCTGACNTGTGTCCAACAGTAGGGCATGTGTCATGTGCGAACTAAACCACTTTGTAGAGGATTGTCAAGAGTTTAAAAAGTTGTCTGCACAAGAGCGTTGGTTGATGGTTTCTAAACACAGGTTGTGTTTTAGGTGTGTCTGACCGGGGCATCGGGTTGAGAAGTGTTTATCAAAAACTAGATGCGAGCAAAAGGGCCGTCTCCGTGTACACCACAAGTTGCTGCACCAAGAGAGAGATGCGTATTAGACCTACGAGCTCAAGCGAACGCAACATCACTCTTGCAGCCAGTCGCACGATAAATTTATTTCAGAAGGTAAAATAATTATCATTACAGATAAAGTCTCGATACTTAGTAAGATGAGGGAGAAATGTGGGTGACGTAAATAATGTTCAAGTTTTACAAAAGAAATCATGTTCAGCATCCAGGTGATAGTGTGTATATAAATGGAGGAACGTTGCGAGGACATGGGTCACACTTTCGAGGTTAATGTCGTAAATTGTGTATTAATCTGATAAAAAGGCACTCAGTCACGAGAATAAAATAGAGAGGACAAATGGTAAGAACGTGAAAGCCCGTGTTCGTACAGGTGGGGTGAATATCGCTGGAGCGCAATTGGTACCAGGGGGCAGTAAGTCAATATAACACACGGTGGGTCTACGCAACTTCATCAAGTAACTGCATGGTGGTCATCTCGCTGCAATAAACACACTCGTAGAATATCGCGCAACTGTTCACCTGTTCAGATATTTTCAATTTCAGTAATGTTACTAGCCCGAGTGAGCCAGTATGGCTTTCTATGACTACACCCAGTGGCCAGTTGTAGCGTTGTAGCTTTTCGTCGGTCATACGGACAACGTCTTCGACTTTCAGCGACCGTTCTCTATGCAACCACTCCTTTCGGGCTTGAAGGGCTGGCAGGTACTCTCTTGTCCAACGCTTCCAAAACAGCCAGGTCAGGTAGTTCCAACCCCGAGGTATAGCAGCCACCAATAGCTTTTACCATCTCTATAATCTCATTGAACCTCAAAAGCACAAGGTTATAGAGAGTAGGCGCCGGCTCTTGCAGGTCATCGCTGGTGACGGGTACAAGCGGTCGGTTGTTGAGTATCCTTTCGGCATCTACCAGAAATGTACTCAAAGTTTCATCGTCCGGCCCCTATCATTCACATAATGCTGTTGATATTTTTCGTACCGACCGTATAAGGCGTTCCCAAACTCCTCCGCGGTGACTGCTGTAGGGTGGGTGGAAGTGCCATTGGGTTCCAGATGGCAACAGTCGGTCTTGCAGGGCGCATTTGTCTAACCGCATTAACCAGTTGCTCAACTCCTTTTGTGCACCGAGGAATTTGGACTCGTTGTCGGAGAGCACATTCCATGTGTTGTCTCGTCTACCCACGAATCTCTGCCAGGACATAAGAAAGGAGTCGGTCGACCTGCTGTGTACGGTCTCTATATG